TGTAGCATAAGAATTTTAAACAAACAAAATAATCTTGTATCTCATTCTACAAGTAAGAAGGACCATAGTTTTTCTACGTGGCTTATTTCTACATTTCGTGCTTTATCTTTTGCTAACACTGCTTACGAATAAGAAAAGAAATGTAAGGTTTTTGGTTCTCATTCCTTTTTTCTAATATAAGTATATGGTAAACCGCACCGTGTCACCCCTCTATCTAGGAGCTCACACAGTGGCCGGTTCTCAGTTTGCTCCCCTGGTGACTCAAACCCCTTTATGGCCAGTGGTGGAAGTCCTTACAACAAATCTATTCCTTGCCATTTATCTCATGCTCCGCACTGTTCTTTCATATTGACTTTTCTTCACGCGACAAGATATTACTCTCACCTTTGTCGTTCATACCGAATTCATCAAGATTGCTAGCCTTTGGTCTTCACGTGGTCGAAATGTTGCTGCATTGCCATTTTCACTTATTAGCCTTCTAACCAATAATGAGAAGTTGGAGTCCATCTTTGATTGATAATGTGAAAGATGGTTATATTTGATCATGAAAAGGGGCACGCCCCAAAATGGATTGAGACGTGGCCGGCACCCAATGCCTATTAACTTGCACCTAGCGAACCGTAATGATGTAGTACATCCCCAATTCGCATCCACGATCCAATTTATTAATCAATCAACAAAGTTTAACGAATAAAGTGAACTAAATACCATTTCAATTAGAGTCTCTAACCCAAAATATTACACAGTTCATCTGTGAACCCTCTAGGACGCTATGAATAAATGGATAAAATATCGGGTCTAGCCCGCACTATACAAGAGGAAGTAATTGAATAGAGTATCCTCACGAAGTCAAAAGGCGGGCTCACTAAAAGTATAAAGCTACAGGAATCCTAGCTCGTACACAGACCGTCCTGCACCTGACCAACCGCTCAACCTAACACCGTTTAAACAAATGATGCTTGAGTATCAAAATACTCAGATATGCATCGTAGCCGCCACTCGTGGTGGGGCAAGCATTATACAGATATAAAGAATATATCAGATGCATAAAAGATCAATTAAATAAATAGTTTAATTGATCGAAGCAGATAATGTGAACTCAATTTAAGATGCATGAGAGATAAATCAAGTAGATAGTTTAATTTATCAAGCATGTAAAGAAACACAAGTCACTTGAAGCATGTTTCGGATTCTTAAGACCATTCAAGTGTCGTCTAACTTATAATTTCAGTGACGAACTCAAAGTATCACAACAATAGTCTGCTATATGACAATAAAACACAGACACCTTCCATTCGTGTTTCAATATTATGCACACAAATGGTGCTGGAATACATCGGGATGCCATCCACGATGACTGCCATACCATCCCCAAACAGTTAGGCCAATGTATACTAGACAAATCACATTCTTTGGTTTCTTTTTTCAAAATCATGGCCATTGGTCGAAAGATCATTTCTTTATGTAGTACATCAAGGACACAAGAAGGTTGCCGTACCACTCCCATACTTGAGACAACACGCGCTCGTCGCTATGTATATTATTTCGAGTCATGGCCTAATAGACGAATTTCCCTTTATTAATCAAGTGTCCAATTTCATGTGTTAAGTGAAAATCAAGAGATAGGAGCACAACAATATGTCCGAAAGCATGTTAAAACACATCATGCACATCATATAAATAGTATGGTGCATTACACAATAACACAGAGATTAAAAATCATACACACTTTTTTATATACCTCAAAACGTAGCATTTTAGGCGATTTTATTGTTTAATCCCAACCAAAGAGTAAACCATGCAAGATTGTTTGTCACGTGCATGTAATCTCATCAAGTTACTATACCAAAACTACATATTAATTTTGAGAACACACAAGAAGCTAGAAGCTAAGCATACCTCGAAATCTCTTTAAATAAGCTAAATATCGCGCCGTTTGTCCAATGATGCCCAACGATGTCAATCTACGTATATAAATTCATGGATGTCAATAACGTGTCACAGCGCTACTAATTTAACCAAGTGTTGTGCACTTAGACTTAGTTTCCAAAAATTCCATAATCCCCCTTTTTTAGGTGATACCATGGTTAATCACCTTAAATAATTCCAACAATGGCGTCAATACATTCATTAGTGTCGTATAAGTTTTCCATTAAAAACCCACAAGCACTATTCATCGTCTACTCATCAACCTCGCAACCTCCATTAATGTCAAGTTAGGGCTTTACACTTATTGTCAATCCAACCACCAGCCAACTCAAATAATACCTTTTACAACCATATGTACTCATAAATAACTCATATTTATTGTTCACAAGTGTAGAAATTAGCTTCTTGAATAAAAACTAAAAAATCAACTTACCTTGGTGTTCTTGTTGAAATCTAGCCAATCCAAAGATATATTGATGTACATATAAGTGTTAACTAACTTTAATCAACACAAAATATTGGACAAAACTTACCTTGGATGGCATTGGAAGGGGTCTTGGCCGAGAGCTCTTGAAGAACTAGGCTTAGCTATTTGTTTGGTTTCTTTGCAACAGTAAAGACCCAACTACAGAGGAAGGTATTTTATGTCTAATGGCTACTCATTTGTTTGGACCCCCACTTAATTGGAAAAACTTATCAGTTTGAGTGATTAGGAAATAGCATATGTATTTAAGTTGAATTTGGTCTTTAGCTGCTCTATTCGACGCATCTTTTTCTTATTTCGTCCCTTTTTTCCTTTCTTTTTTGGTTTTGTAATTCCATCTCCCATTTGGAATATAATTAAATATTCATACTCCGTCCATGTACCTGGAACAATGTATATACTCCATGTGTCCCAACTTATGTGGCACCGTTCAGATTTCGAGAGTTAAACTTCTAAATTTTGACCGTGAATTTGGATATAGAATCTTTAAGTTTTTTGAAATAAAATCTACATATTTAAAAACTACATAAAAAGTATTATAAGTCACAATACAACAACAACAACAACGAGCCAGTGTAGTCCCACAAGTGTGGTCTGGGGAGGGTAGTGTCTACGCAGACCTTGCATCTACCCCGATGGGGAAAGTCACAATAGTTAACAATTTAAGAAATTTGAAAAGCATATGAAAAAAAATTGCGGTCAAAGAATAACTCGTTTGACTCTTCTTGATGGTGCCACATAAATTGGGACAAAAGGAGCAGGTATTAACATGTCCGATAATATTTTCCTCAATCCGTCGTCATCAATGGTACGCAAAAAAATATTTGTTATATTCTTATGCGTGCTTAAAGTATTAAACTTAATTAAAAAAAATTCGAAGCGCTACAATTTGGGACTAGTACATGTGGCTATTTAAAAGATTTCTGATCTCTCTCGTCTCAGTGTTTCAAAGGAAAGGACCTTTGAGTGGGCACACAAGTTATGGACGTCTATCAGCTTGTTTGTTAAGGTCTTGTTATGCAATCAAGAACTTTTCTCATATAAGCATTTTGAAAGTCCTCCAAATTGGTAAGCTATGTTGCTCGGACTCTCCGAAAATGTGGCCGGATACGTGTCGGATCCTCCAAAAGTAGTGCATTTTTGAAGGATCCGACACGGGTGCGGCTACATTTTGGAGAGTCCACGCAACATAGTTGGTAAGTAAATAAAACAGAATTTTGTAATTTTAGAAGGCATAAAGAATTTGGGGTTGGCTTTTCTGATGGTAAGCAACCCCCACTTCCAACCAAGAGGTTGTGAGTTCGAGTCACCCCAAGAGTAAGGTGGGGAGTTTTTGGTGGGAAGGAAGCCAAGGGTCTATTTGGAAACATCCTCTCTACCCATGGTAGGGTAAGGTCTGCGTACACACTACCCTCCCCTCCCCAGACCCCACTAGTGGGATTAATATTGGATTGTTGTTGTTGTCTTTATCAAAGGAAAAACTTGAATCTGCAAATCTGATTAAGCTGTATTAGTTGGTTTTAAAAGGTTATACACTTATGTGGTATACTGGTCCTCTGTGCAATTCCTGATCAGCAGAAGAGCAAGAAAGTTTCACGTTGATTAGTTGGTTAATCGGCACCACAGTGTTGCCTATGAACTGCTTTTGCGTCGAATGATCTTGAGGATTGACAGCAAAATCAAGGAAGAGGTTGCTAAGCGTATTGCTTATACTCTAGGTAGGAAAATTGTTCTTGCTGTAAAAGGCATTGAAAATATGGGAAAGCTACCGTGCTGGATTACTGAGAGACTATCTGCTAGATTTCTTAAGTATAATAAATAAGTAATTTGAGAGGATAATACTTTTTCAAAATATGCACTTATCTTCTTCAATGAAAAAATGTGTAGTTTTTTGCTTTAATCTCTTCTACTGAATCTAAAATACTTTTACGGAAACTGCAGCTTTCATAGGCTTCATCATTAGTAATTTAGCTAGAATACTTGTGCAGCTGTGGCAACTGATGGGCTAAAGCCGTTGTCTTTTACACTACAATGTCTAGAAAATCAGAAACAAAATCTTCTTGTCAAGGCATCACAGATACATAAAACACCGGAAATTAGCTGTAATTAACCTTTAGTGTCAACCAACTATGAATATCCTGTATGGTGTGGTGTCCGTCTTCTGCCATTAGGTCAGTTGAATATCAGCGATCCAATGGCTAAAAGAGATGACTGCATCATGCGTTAGCTGTATAAAAATTGAAGTCACTGAGTGCTGCTGCTGAGAGCTATAATTTAGCACCATTTTAATGGCTCCGATTTTATATGTTCGTTTAGTTTATGTTGTCTAGATTCTCTATAGCACTTGTGTACGTGTTTTTTGCCCAACCTTTCTACACAATTATTACTTTATATGATCATGTAGTTTTAGCTAGGTTGTGGACTGAAAGTTAGAACTAATTTCTTTTTTCCAGTTTGGGCTGGATTCTCTGAGAGAACACGTGAGGGAAACAAGTTTATTGTAGCTGAAAGACCTTCGAAACAGGCGAAGAAAAATTACTGCATGGAAACGTCTGAATCTATTGCCGAGGAGCGAAGACTGAAGAGGGAATCAAATGGGTTCTTTGAAGATACTGGGAAGGAGGAATCGCCTTCAAATCTTTTAGATACCTTGTTTGATGATTAGTGCCGGAAAAAAACAAGTTACGCATCCTTCAGCTTCATCCACAAGGCCAGGCTGATTTATTTAGACAGAACCGAAGCAAGTCAACTGTCGAAGGGGGATTTTGGTTATTAGTGGAGTAAACTACGGAAAATAGGAATTTAGAACCCTAAGTAGTGTCACTGATTAGCCATCATATAATATAGCATTTTCACATGAATTTTGTATCTACAAGTTTTTTGTAAAGAGATTGCAGGTTTAGCATGTTTCAGTCCCCTGTTTGATGTATTGAAAAGCTAATACTAGACGGAACTAGATCAGAGGGGCCAGGTGCCATTTTCTGATCGTGGATCAAGCATGTTCTTTGTACACTTGAAGCTCGGTCTTAAGACGGCCATTGCACAATTATAATATTAAGTTCAGAGTTCAGACTAGGCAAATGATTGCAATTGTAGCTCTATTCAGCAAATGATTGCAAATGTACATAATGTATATAGTATCTCCTTTTGCATCAGCGATCCTCTCACAATGTCGAAGTGTTAGGTAATGCCTGGGAATTGTGCCTTGATTGGCTCACCTCCATCTCTATTTGACTTTACTCTAGTAGATCAGAATCTAGAGGTAGAACTAGAAATTTCAATGGCATGAAAGCACTTAAATGCCTTATATTAATGGTCTTTATACGCCAAAAATGAGTTGTGAGACTATGGTCATGAGTTGCATTTGCATCTGCCAGAAGAGAATGGTTCATCCTGTCCTGTAAAGAATGAAAATGACATGGTAGAAAATCACTTCAAAAAGGATATAAATATAATAGTATATTCCACCTTTATCTACTAAATACTTGACTAGCTGTTGCGTGTGTCATGTGGCAACTTAACTCTACACCTCTTATGTGTAGCTTCTGTTAAAGCATATTAAACTTTATATTATAAGACTAATAAACTGCTCCATTGTTAGAATTTTTCTTGGTTTTAGACGTCTTTCCATTGAGTAATATGGGAAAAGCTTAGGTAGATGAAGGTCATCCATTATAATATATCAATCAAGACTAGAAAAACTTTGATGATTTCTCTTTCTTTACAGTTGTTTAAATATCCAAGAGAAAGAAAGTCCTTGTTCACAGGTACGAGTTAGGTATTTTTTTGTTGTCACAGACAAGAAGCTCAACCATTAAGCCACTATGGTCAAACATTTCTAACCCCACCTTCATTTCATGGAGCAGTTGGGATGTGCTTTCGTCTCTTTATCTAACGTTTAACTTGCTCTGCTCAGACTTTCACCAGTAAACACACAACATCCTTTTCAATGGGAATCAACATTTTCTAAATCACTAACATGAGAAGTACTATAAATGTGATACACAAAATGCACATATGATAGTCAGCCAAAAATAAATGTTACTAATGAGAGTTTTGTTCCTTCTTTTAGCAATTAATCCTAGTAGCTCTTTCATACCTTCAATTAAGGCTTAGTTCAAGAGAATTGACTAACCTCAAACTCATGCAGTCAAGAGAGCCAGTGCAGCTTTCATGCAGAAAACAGTTTTCCTGCATGTTGCATGTCTTCAGCCGGAGAATTCACCGGCTTTGCTCGAGGATACGGTGGCTGATGTGGCGACGCCCGAGGTCTAAGGTGGTGATCAAGAGGTTTGGGAAGCTGAATTCAAGAGGACATCATGGCCAGCTCAAAGAAAAACCAAGCATCAAATCATTAACAACTCATCCGAATGCCCAAACTAGGCCTATTCGACTAGCCACTTTCAATGCTGCATTATTTTCCCTTGCACCAGCTGTGCCTAAGGCTGAAAAATCAGTCATTGCTCATGATGATGATGACGATGACGGTTTCAAATTTCAAAACCAGGTAAAGTCTGAGATTAATAGCCGTCCTAAGAGCATATTGAAACATTCCCCTCTTCATCCCACATTAATAAATGGTGCAAAACCAAAGCCAAGAGTGTCAATAAACCTTCCTGAGAATGAGATTTCATTAGCTCAGAACAGGGTATTCGGTATGTTGGAAGATGACTCCACCAAGATTTTGAGTTTAAACAACAACAGTCTAGCTCCTGTTAGGTCTCCGATATGCTTCCCCGCAATGGCTAAATGGATGAATAATGATTATGGAGGCGACTACTTGAGTGGAACAAGGTCTATTCTTGATGTGTTGAAAGAAGTGGATGCTGATATATTGGCTTTACAAGATGTGAAGGCTGAGGAAGAGAAAGATATGAGCCCTTTATCTGATTTGGCTCATGCTCTTGGTATGCACTATGTGTTTGCTGAAAGCTGGGCTCCTGAATTTGGTAATGCTATTTTATCCAAATGGCCTATTAAGAGATGGAGAATACAGAAAATCTTTGATGATAAAGATTTCAGGTGCCGCTCTTGGAACTATCACTTCTATTAAAACTTTTGTTGACAATATCTATGTTTAAGGAATTGTATGTACTCCTGATTGCGTTACTTAGTGTTAGTTTTGTATTTTCGCTTCAGTTTTCCGATTGGTTTGCCTATTGTTGCCCCTTCCTTTTATCTTTCCTGAGCCGAGGGTCTTCTGGAAACAACCTCTCTACCTTCTTAAAGGTAGGGGTAAGGTCTGCGTACACATGTACTACCTTAACTGAAAATTTAAACTATCATAAACTAGAATACTTTTATTTTATCCTTCAAAAGTTTAAACGTAATCCCCGAATGAAGGGTCTTTTTTTTCTTCTTTTTTCTTGGTTCTTTATGTAGCTGGTGTATTGAATGATGCAGGAATGTGCTTAAGGCTACGATTGATGTACCACGGATGGGAGAGTTAAACTTCTGTTGCACTCAACTTGATCATTTAGATGAGAATTGGAGAATGAAGCAAATTAACGCGATAATACAGTCAAATGATCATCCTCATATTTTAGTCGGAGGCTTAAATTCTCTAGATGCCTCAGATTACTCATTAGAGAGATGGACAGATATTGTGAAGGTACATAAAAAAAGTCCCAATTCTTATACCTTTACTTTTTGGATTACTAGTATCCTTTACTCAGTTTCTTGATCACACAATGTCTTCATTACAGTATTATGAGGAGATAGGGAAGCCAACTCCAAGAGTTGAGGTCATGAAATTCTTGAAAGGGAAAGAATACTGTGATGCAAAAGAGTTTGCAGGGGAATGTGAGTCAGTTGTTATCATTGCTAAAGGCCAAAGTATGAATCTTTATCTTAAAGTTTCTATGAAATCTTTCTCTTATCTTACTTGGAACCATAATATGAGTTGCTTACTATTTTTTCTCAATCATGTTTTATGTCATTTTGGTACAGATGTGCAAGGAACATGCAAATATGGAACTCGAGTTGATTATATTTTGGGTTCACAAGGCCTGCCTTATGCATTTGTGCCTGGATCGTACTCTGTTGTTTCGTCGAAAGGCACGTCCGATCACCATATAGTTAAGGTGGAAATCATGAAAGTAGCAGGCAGTGCTAGGAAGAATAGTAAGAAACTGAAGAAAGTAAAACAGAAAGTTGTGAGGATGACAGGTTCTTGTTCTTCGAGAGGGATTTAATTTGGCAATCAGACACTTGGAAACTATGGTTATTAGTTTCTGAGGTCTTTAGCCTCTTCTTTTCTCTTTGTCCTTGTTTTTTTTCTGCTGGAGGTGTATACATTTTTCTACTTTGTGACTGACTACAGTTTCATTAAGATGCAGATCTATGTTCTCTTTTTGTTTGACCTAGCTACAGTATATCCAGTCATCAACATTATACTCTTAACTTCACCTTTTTAATATTTCTCTAGCTCTTAATTTAAGAATTGGCTCAAGGATAAGGGTAAGATTTAAAGAACCCCTAGTTATTTTATTAGTTTTTGAATAAGCCCTGCTCAAATAGAACTACGTGGAAATAGATGATTCATATAATCGATCTCAATTAAGGTATAGTTGATTGAGTTGCCAAATTTTGGTGATCATGGTTTTTATATGGAACCTAAACATGTAACTTGTATAAAATATACTAAAAACTAGTTAGATGATCAATATTTAACTTGTTAAATATTGATCAGTCAACATTTGTAGGCTGAATTAGTTGGCAAAAAAAATTCGGATTCCTGATGTTCCAAAAGGTAGTCTTACATATTCTTTTGGGATGTCCCAAATGTTGTCTACTTTCTATTGAAAACGAAACGGTGAAAAAATTCATTCCTGAAAAAAGGCCCTTTTTTTTTTAAAGTTGAAAGAAACAGTTGAGATTCATTTTCAGAATTGTTAAGTTATTCATTATTCATCCCAAATAAATCTCAACTTACCAACCTCTAGCCATTAGTCATAGACTTACCAAAACTAGCCAACAAAAATTAAAAAACCAAATAATAGGGTTCTTTCTCTCAAAGAATCACATGCAAAAATCACCTTCCATATTTTAAAGCGTGATTAGCAACATTAGATACAAGACGGAAAGGAAATTTCATGGACGGGGTAGCAAATAAGGTGATGAAATACAAAAATCTATACAATATTCCAAAAATCTAAACAAAAAAGGAACTTTTCAAATGGGTATAGTTGAAATTCATTGAAAGTATATAGATAAGTCAATATACAAAATTTGAGGAAGATTGGAGGTGATTTGGACTGGTTTTGTATCAAAATTCGTAATTAAATCGAGTTCAAAAAAGTCTTCTGCGACACATGTATCAAACATGTATCATGCATGTATCACACACACAGGTATATATGGATATACATGTGATACACAATTGATACAAATATGATACATATGTGATACACAAATGATACACAATGTGATACACATATAATTTTTTTCATGTTTAGCTTTTACTTCGAATTTTCAATTCAAACCACCTCAAAACTTCACCAAATCATCCCAAAACTGAGATTCAAGCTCCTTAAGTTGTGCCCAATCTATTCTAATAACACCCACTCAAAATAAAGCAAAAATTTGATATTTTTTTGCTATAAATAGCTAATTGGCTAATTTGGCTAATATTAGTAATATTTTATCAATTGGCCAATTTTTGTAATGAGCTACTTATAAATGGACATAGCTGGTAATTTCTCATTTTTAAACTGAAAAAAAGTTAAATTGCTCTCTGCAAAATATTTACGCGAAAACAATTTTAGAAGATGAGAGTTCTCCAAAGACTTTGTGATAAATTATAACCAAAAGCTTTACAAGAACGAAGTGACGTTGAAACAATGTAGAAAGAACAAGTAAACAATAAAGAGATTTTCTTATCCAACAAAATTTGAGAATAATTTAATAAAAATAGGTAAAATGAAGATAGTGCTGAGTTTTGTCAGTCCATGACAATTGAACAACACATACTAGATTAGTCCATCTGATAAAAATTGTGAATAATTTAGCAAGATAAATAGAAAGAAGATGGTACCAATTTAACCCATCCGACAAAACTTACAAATGATTGAACATAAAAGTATTGTCCTTCCGATAAAAGTTGTAAACAATTTACCAAGATATATAGAATAAAGACATCATCAAGTTTAGCCCATTCCACAAAATTTGTGAACGGTTGAACAAAACATGGAAGGTCCATGTGACAAAACTTGTGATGACCAATTCAATAGTATCGAGTAAAACTTGTGAATAGATGAACAAACGCGACTTTTTCATGTCTAATTTTTTTTAGTACTATAATGATTTGAATTTGAATTAAAAATGAATATACATGATTCATATAACCGATCCAATTAGTTCGGAATTAACGCGGTATCAGAGCAAGGTTCGGGTTTTTACATATAATCTAGGGTTAAGATGTCTTCATCATCTTCAACAAAGTACGAAGTAAAGAAATTTGACAGGGGTTCTAGTTTCAGTCTATGGAAGATTAGGATGAAATCGTCCTTGGTGTTACAAGGGTTATGGAAGGCAATTGATCAGGATTTTCCTGAAGAGATGAAGGAGACAAAGAAGGCAGATCTGAAGGAGAGGGCTTTGAGTGCGATCTTCATGAGCGTTACAGATAGCGTTCTTCAGGAAATTGCTGAAGAAACTTCTGCAGCAACGGCATGGAAGAAGCTGGAAGATCTGTATTCTAAGAAAATCGCTAACAAACCGCCTCTACCTGAAAAAGAGGTTATACAATCTCCGTATGAATGAAGGTACACCTGTTAAAACTCACATTGATGAGTTTAATTCAATTATAATGGACCTGAAGAATGTGGATATCAAAATTGAGAGTGAGGAACAGGCCTTGATTGTGTTATGTTCTTTACCACCGTCTTATGATACTTTTGCCGATACGCTGCTATACGGGAAAGACAACATTTCACTAGAAGATGTTAGTAATGCACTTAAATCTAAAGAGTTGAAAAAGAGCTTTCTAGACAGCAGAATTGAGGGCGAGGGTCTTGTGAATAGAGGAAGAATACAACAAAAGGACTTTAACAGGAAAAAAGTCAACCGCCAGATCAAAGTCTCGGGCAAGGAAGCAACACTGTTATGAGCGCGGGGAGCAAGACCACTACAAGAGAGATTGTCCTAAGATGAAGGAGAAAAGAGGGAAGCATAAAATAGATAATTAGGCAAATATTATTGACACTGGCAATAATTCTGATGATAGTGACTATGTAGGGGAAGTCTGTGCTGTGAGTTTTAGTCATGGGCAGAATTCTTGGATTCTTGATTCTGGTGCTACTTTCTACATGTGTCCACACAAGAATTGATTTGCAACTTACAAGCAAATGAGTGGGACTGTCTATATGGGAGAGGATAATCCATTACCAGTAGAGGGGGTTGGTAACATCAAATTGAGAATGTTCGACAGAATTATCAGAAACATTGAGTGTTGGCATGTTCCTCGGATAAAGAGAAATTTGATTTCTCTTTCGACTTTGGATGATCAAGGGTATAAATTTCACTCCGATAATGGAATACTTAAAGTGTGTAAAGGCTCCATGGTACTCATGAAGGGTAAACTACATTCTAAATTGTATCATCTTTAGGCCAGTGTAGTTGAAGGAGAAGCTGCTATAGCTTTTGGGAAAAGTGATCTGAATCAGTCTCAGTTGTGGCACTTGCGACTTGGCCATATAAGTGATAATGGATTGTCTTTGTTGAGTAAGCAGAATTTGCTGAATGGGTACAAAAATCAAGTTTTGAATTTTTGTGAGCACTGTGTGTTTGGTAAACAGACAAGGGTAAAGTTCAGCAAGAAGGCCGAGCACAAGACCAGAGACAAGTTAGATTATATACACTCTGACTTGTGGGGTCCAAACAGAGTTCCCCCCATGAGTGGTGCCAGGTATTTTATGACTTTGATTGATGATTACTCAAGGATGGTATGGGTATATTTTCTGAAAACAAAAGATGAGGCATTTTCAACATTTGTTAAATGGAAGACGATGGTTGAGAGGCAGACGGAAAGAAAAGTTAAGCGTCTTAGAACTGACAATGGGTTGGAATTTTGCAATTCTGAGTTCGATAATTTCTGCAGCAGGGAGGGCATAGTGAGACACCGCACTTGTGTCGGAACACCATAACAAAATGGTATTGCAGAATGTATGAATAGAACTCTATGTGATATGGCACGAAGCATGCTTTCACACTCATATGTTAGCAAAGATTTTTGGGCTGAAGCAATCAATACAGCTTGTTATTTGGTTAACAGATCTCCATCCACAGCTATTGAGTTCAAAACTCCATTTGAGGTATGGTCCGGTTCGCCTGCTGATTATTCAAATTTAAGGATATTTGGTTGTCCTGCTTATGCTCATGTGAGGGATGGAAAACTTGAGACGAGGGCAAAGAAGTGCATATTTCTAGGGTATGCAATTGGAGTGAAAGGTTATAGGTTGTGGTGCACAGATCAAAAGACTCCAGGGCTAATTATCTGTAGGGATGTAACATTTAATGAATCTGCCTCACTGGACAGTCAGAGGGAGAAGGCAATAGCAGAAACAGATCGTGGTGTTAGTGACCGCATAGAGCTAGAAATTGAATCTCCACTAGCTCGGCCCAGTAGTTCTAAAGTAGAGGAAGTGGAGGAGGTGCAAAATATCGATCAAGATGATAATGCACCTGCGCAACAACCCTATAGCATTGCAACATGCATAGAGAAGAGAGTGATCAATCCACCACAAAGGTTTGCAAACGTAGCTGATGGTAATTTTCTTGGATATGCTAATTTTGTGGAGTTTGCTTTGCCTGTTGCAGAGACCATTGATGTGCTTGATCCTAATAGCTATAAAGAAGCTATTTCTAGTCCAGAAGCAGATCAATGGGTTGGTGCTATGAGTGAAGAGATTGAGTCTCTTCATAAGAATCAGACATGGAAGCTTGTTCCATTGCCAAAGGGACATAAGGTACTAGGCTACAAATGAATTTTCAAAAGAAAAGAGGGAAATCCAGGGGTTGAAGCATCAAGGTACAAGGCAAGATTAGTAGCTAAAGGTTTTACACAGAGGGAGGGGATAGATTACAATGAAGCGTTCTCTCCAGTGGTAAAGCATAGCTCTATCAGGGTCTTACTGGCTTTGGTGGCTCTTCATGACTTAGAACTAGAGCAGTTAGATGTGAAAACTGCATTCTTGCATGGTGAGTTGGATGAGCAGATTTATATAAGTCAACCCGAGGGATTCATTACTCAGGATAAGAAAAATCATGTTTGCTTGCTTAAGAAATCTTTATATGGTCTGAAATAGTCGCCTAGGCAGTGGTATAAAAGATTTGATACATTCATGATTCAAAATGCATTTTCTCGAAGTGCATAT